TGAGGATGTAAAAATGTGAAGGCAGAGACTATAAGAATACCTTGTCATGAATGTAAACTCCGTAATCCTGCCAGAGTTGTCCTTTTGTTGTGTCTGTTGTTGTATCTATCCAGAGAAAAAAATAGAAATTACCTTTTTTTTAAAATTGATGAAAGCAGAGCAATGTAATTTAGGACTTGGATTCAGATTGAGTTGATCACATCCCCCTTTTAATAAGACAGCAGCCCTAGCTGGTTTGGCTCATGGAGCATGGGCCTGTTATCTGAAGGGTCCTGGGTTCCATTCCAATCAAGGACATATACCCCAGTTGTGGGCTCAATCCCCAGTAGGGGGCATGCAGGAGGCAGCCAGTCAGTGATCCTATCTTGTCATTGATGTTTTTCTCTCTCTCCCTTTCTCTCTCTCCCTCTCCCTTCCTCTCTGAACTCAATAAAAATATATATTTAAAAAAATAAATAAGACAGCAGCCCTGGCTGGTGTTGCTAAGTGGTCAGAGTGTTGGCCTGTGCACCAAAGGGCCAATGGTTCGATTCCTGGTCAAGGGCACGTACCTGGGTTGCAGGTTCAATTGCTGGCTCTGGTCTCTCTCTCTCCCCCCTCTCCCTTCCACTCACTAAAAATCAATGGAAACAGTATCATTGGGTGATTATTAACTAAAAATAATATGACAGCGTTTTCACTCATTAAAAAACTTACACATTTTGACACGCGTCCTTGGATATTTATAATGACAAAGTTTTTCTCTAAATTTTTCCCTAAATTAGGCACAAGAATATCATCTAGGAGGCAGGAATCATGTGCTGGGGTAATTCTGGACCTTTTTTGAAGCAAGTACCCTGACATGTATATTACAGTCACTACCTACTTGAAATTCTGCCTAGAAAAAATGTATCTGTACATGGCATGAGGGTATCAAGGTAGAAATGCCTACCACAATTTTGTGTTGTCTTCCAAAGGAAAGAAAAATAATTTTATCATATTTTAATATAATCTGTTTAGAATAGTCAGAATTATAACCAAGGATTTTACATACTAGAAATATTTATTTTACACAATTTGCCCTTTAAAATTTGTCCTATTTAAGGAGCCTAAATGGCCCAGAAAGTTTGGATCCATCTAAGATAAGGAACCATGAGTATTTGATTTGTATAATCATTTTCTAAATTAATGACACATTTTTATGCAGAGGAAATGTGTTTCAAATAAACTTGAATGGGACCCAAAAGTTTATAAAACAGATGAAGCTGGAGTTATGTCTACCTGCATTTCCCTTCTCTGCTTCTTGCCCTCCCACTTCCTAAGTCTAGACGCCTCAGGATGCAGAACTGGACAGAGCTGTCAGGGCTGGGTGTTTCTGCATCACCAATACCTGACATAACAGCCGTGGGCAAACTACGGCCTTCGGGCCAGATCTGGCCCGTTTTAAATGAAAAAAAATAAAAAAAAAAAAAAAAAAGACCGTACCCTTTTATGTAATGATGTTTACTTTGAATTTATATTAGTTCACACAAACACTCCATCCATGCTTTTGTTCCGGCCCTCCGGTCCAGTTTAAGAACCCATTGTGGTCCTCGAGTCAAAAAGTTTGCCCACCCCTAGCACATCAGGGGTGCCCATTAATCTTTGTGAAATTACACAGAACCCAATGCTTATGGAGACGTGAATATAAGATGTTTTAGGTAAAAGTGTTCTTATTTTTAAAAAATTGATCCAAATAACATCTATATCTTTCAAGTGTATGTTCCCTGGCAATATTTAAAAAGGTTTGAGGTTTACTTTGGGAATGTCAAAGGCAATGTAATGGTTGTAATCTGCTTCTAAGCAAATGTAGCTTTTAGGGTGACAGGGGACATATAAGGTCACCCTATAGATTGGAAGGGAATAGGAGGGCACTTCAATATGTTTGTTCATCTATTAGCAAAGTTGTTTGACACATGTACATGGGTGATATGTCCTCCAAAAGTTGGGCTCTCACACTGACAATGCTATCTTCCCATATAATGAGGTAGGTGTGTGTGTGACCTTGATCAGAGGCTTATAGTAGAACTATGAACTCATAGATTAATGGCAAAATGTAACCCAAAGACCCTGACTCAGTGAGTGTTTTAAAAATAATTTTGTATTTGTTACCAAGATTTTAAAAATTGGGATTTTCACAGATAAATCCAGATTTCTGGTTACTTTTAAAAAAGTACAAGATCTAGCAATACAGTGAGCCTACCTTTGTCTTGACCATTGGTTCTCAAAATGTGGTCCCTGGTCCAGTAGCATCAGCATTACCTGGGAACTTGAAACTCTGGGGCTGGGACC